CTAACATTCTTACAGAAAGTTATCGGCGAATCATATACCATGCCTTAGTTGAAACCCATATAATATACGGCATCACAGCCTGGGGTGCCGCCTGCAATACATATATTTCTGACCTGAATATAGCACAAAAAACTGTTTTGAAGGCCAATAACTTATATCAGGAAACAGGGATACTTGATACAAGACAACTTTATTTCTTACATGCCACCACCTTATACCATAAGTATTGTAATAAAAAGAAAATCGTATAAACACGAACATAACACACGATTTCGAATAGGCTCATCTAATATCCAAAGACCACACAAAACATTATTCAAAAAATCATTTAAATTCTTATCAGCTAAATTATATAATGTAGTACCAAACGACATAAACATACTTAATTTTGGAAAAAAATTTAGACGAAAATTGAAAGACTGGGTTAGTACTGTGCAGCGAATGACTATACATAATTATATAGAAAACTAAAACTACAAAATTCAATTACATTAATACTTTTTAGATTTAACAATAATTGTTATACACATATATGATTGATTGTTAGTTATTAAGATATAAACCACACACAGGCGAAGCCTTCTGTGGTTTTTTCATATTTGTTTGCCCATTTTTTGTATTTTGGCGAATAAATATTATTATTATTATTATTATTATTATTATTATTATTATTATTATTATTATTATTATTATTATTATTATTATTTACCTGACACCGTAAATGTACGAAAACTGATTGCTTCATTATCACCAAACAATACACGTAGCCACCAGAAAGACTTAACAGAAAAACTTGACTATTTTATTACTTGTTGTTCATGGCAAGATAAATCGATACCTGAAAAATTTTTGAATTACAATAAACATACGTAGGTGTTTCTTTTTGTCACTTAGCATAGGTAAAGAAAATACATTTATTTATATGAATTTGTCCTAAAATAAAAGATTTCATTATCGTAATTTAAAAAACGTCGTCAAGTAGATTGACTATGGTACTTCGCTTTCAATTATGCCATCAAGTATAATAAGTATATGTCGATACATTCACCATATACAAAAATTCCTTAAATTCAGAGACTTTAAAAAAATTTATATTTTATCATTTCAAAATGATATTTTAAACTTTTCCTGGAGCATTATATATTCCGTAGAGAGTATTGATCACGAAATTTCATATTTGACAGATGGGCTAAAATTAATTTTTGATAAGCATGCACCTCTAAGAATTGTACGTGTAAATAAACCGCATGCACCCTGGCTATCATCCCAGCTTAAACGTATGATGAAAGACAGAGACAGAGCTTTAAATCAGTTTAAAATTAATAAGACAGAAGATTCCTGGAATCGCTACAAAGAGCTCATAAATTCAACTAAGTTAGTAAGTTATATTTATTATCCTTCCGTCAACAAAATGATTCAAAAATGTTTTATAGGTCCTTAAAATCAATGCGTATCCAACAGTCACAAAATACCGATATACCTCTACATTTAAAAAACCCTACTGACATTAATAATTATTTCTGTACCATTTTTAATAACGCCATTTGTTCATGCACAGAGAAGATTGAACATTATGAATCACTATTCTAGTGATCGAAATAAAAATGAATCAGCTGCAACTTGGTTGCGTTAACAATTAAGCTAGTCGGTTATGAATGTTGTGGATATAGGTGGTAGGCGGTCTCGGCACGACGAGCGAGAAGGTACCACCCGGCGGATCAGTCAGATGAAGCCAGAATGTGTTCATGTGGTAACGTCCCTCTCCTTTTCTCTGTATTCTCAACAGCACCACGGTACCCATTGGCTTCAATGCCTTAGACAAAACGTACATATCTAAAACTATGCCGCGGCAATAAACCCACTGACGTAAACCGTTACAAACACACTCTCGGTGTGCTTCCGTGGAATTATAGGCCAGGTGAATAATTCAGGATCCGGTAGAATAGCTCGTGAAACCTGAATATAATATGCAGGCGAGCCTTTGTTGTCAGTGGAGCTGCGAGGTTAAACATTCAAGGAGCTTCCGACCAACACTGTGCCTGTGACCGGATTTAAAGGAAAAAACATAGCGGAATTTTCGACGCTAATTAGGGGGTGGTTCTTGTGAAGGGTTTTGTGTAATGGGCAATGCCTTTTTTGAGGGGTATAACCTAAAGGAAATTTGAGTCAGATTACGGTTCTTAGGTATACGATTCAGACATGATCTGGCGTTCTAGTTTTGACTATCTTAATCGATTATCTTTTCCTTGTGATCGCTTTTTAGCAATCGACGTTCTTAACAAAAAGAATAGACCTCATAGTTTTCCAAATATTCGCGGTCGTACATTGATATTTAAAAAATAAAAGGCATTATTTTCAACTAAGCAATGACCGGTATCGAAAGTAATTTTCTGGCATTTTGACATTCAAAAGTCCATTCAGTTTTGTAGATAGAACTATTGACATTCATTTATTTAACTGAGACCGAGGGAATAGAAATTCTAATGATTCTGGGTTATGGCGATCGTCATCCCACACAACAAAAAGTTTGCCATTTGTTTAATGACAAATATCCCAACCGGAATCCAATAACAAGGTCTACTGCTGAAAAAATTTTTAGTAAATTTGAATAAACAGGACATGTAACGGATGTTCCACGATCTGGAAATCCCAAAACAGCCACTGACGAAAATAAGGCTTTGAAAATTTTAGTGAGCATAGCGGAAAAACCTCTCTACTAGAACACTTGGTGAAGATAACAACACATCTCACATGTACGTGGAACCCGTTTTAAAAACCGAAAGCATTCCATCCTTGGTCCAAGAGCTATCAGATGGTTTTGACAGCCGTTTACAAGTCTGTGAGACCATGTCAGACATGTGTAATAGAAATAACATTTTTTGTTCGAAATAGTTTTTTTAGATGAACGGAGCTCTTAATCGCCATTGGGTACGAGAACGTCTTACAGAATATACACAAAAAATTAATGTTTGGGCCGGTATCATAGGTCAAAAGATAATCGGTCCGTTTTTCATGGAAGAAAATTTCATCGCTGAAAGATTTTGTATCTTTCTTGACATCCTTTACGATCGGTTACGATGCCTAGAGTACGGAGACCTGTACGATTTCGTCAACTTAGTGAGTTTGATAGGGGCCGTATAGTGGGACTTCGGGAAGCTGGACTTTCTTTTCGGGCAATTGCAGTTAGAGTGCAAAGAAGTGTAGACACTGTGGTTAGGTGTTGTCAGGCATGGCTTCGAGAAGGCCGTACGCAAAGAGCAAGGGGCACTGGACGCCGCCGTAGAACAACAGACCGTGAAGATCGCCGCCTAAGATTATTGGCCTTAAGGGACCGTTTCTCCACTACCAGGTCCATTGCAAATGAATGGTTTGCAGAACACGGAAGACCTATTGGCATGCGAAGTGTTTACCGACGAATGAGAAGTTTTGGCTTGTTTTCATACCGGCCACACTGGGTCCTCCCTTTAACTCGAGAACACCGACGTAATCGCCTTGAGTGGTACAGACAACGGTCACTCTGGGATCAGGAATGGAACAGTATTGTCTTTAGTGACGAGTCTCGATTTTGTTTAGGCATGCACGATGGTCGTGCCAGGGTTAGAAGGCGACGTGGTGAAAGGAGGAATCCACAGTTTTTTGTTGAAAGACATGTTCATCACACTGTTGGAGTTATGGTTTGGGGTGCTATAGCTTAAGGTTCCAGGTCACCTTTAATCTTCATCAGAGGTAAAATGAACGCGCAGCGTTATATCCACGAAGTTCTAGAACCCCATCTTTTACCCTATCTTGACACCCTGGCAGGTCCAACTTTCCAACAACATAATGCCCGACCACATATTGCAAGAGTCACAATAGACTTCTTTCAACATAATGATGTCACATTGTTACCATGGCCACCAAGATCTCCCGACTTATCCCCAATTGAGCACGTGTGGGATATGATGGGTAGGAGATTGCTCAATTTGCAACGTCCTCCTCAGACTCTAGAAGCACTTCGAGAGGAGTTGGTGGTTGCCTGGAATGAGATACCACAGGTTGACATTGACCACCTGATCAGAAGCATGCCTAGGCGCGTTGGAGAATGCGTAGCACATCAGGGTGCATCCACACATTATTAAAGGTCAAAGGGCTTTAAAGCAGTGCAATCATTTTGAAATTTTTATCATTTACTTATTATGCTTCATTAAGTACTTATACAAAATTTTATTAAAATAAGACCATTTAAACTGGGTGTTCGGATTTATATGTCACTTAGCATATACTGCTGCCAAAAATTGTTTTTAAACCTTCTTATTTATTTCTTTGTTATTAGCCTTTTTCTCCGCCGTCGCTGAACCGCTTTTCAAAAACTACAATCCTTTATTGTCCCTGTCAAAGTGGTAACTTTGGGTGGAGCTCCGAGCCGTACTTTTCAAGGTATAGACGGGCCAAGTATTAACGGACAGACGGACAGACCGACAAATCGCCGGAAATGGGTGACATGGTTTTTTGTGTAACATCCAAAACACAACATGTCTCATTTTAGAAATTCTCGCAATTATAATACTTTCCCTCCAGTCGTATGGGCACTAAAGGTACACAATTCAAATACTGCATTTCGTTTCCACATGTGATGCAATCATTTTTTAGCGGACCTAATGTTCTTGGGACATATAAACTCTTGTACGTTCCCCTAATTTCATTTCATTGTGAAAAACTAGGGAACGCTGAGAATACGTTTTAATTATTTAATGTCACCTTTGAGACTCGACCTTTTTGGGCAGAGCTTGGAACCTCAAGTCTGCAAACATTTGGTGCCTTTTACTTGAGTCTAATTTAATTTTATCAAAACAGCATTCCTGCATTCCAAGACCGACACATATCCATACCGTCCTGATTGACGACTCTCCGCAGCAACCCCAATAAAACTCTCCGCTGGTTCAGAAAATATCTACGAACGAGCCCTTTTGGACCCTTTCCGCCTAGGGTAATCAATTTTCCGATGAAGTTAAGTTATCTGTTTCTTGTTCCAGATATCGCCCAACAATGATAAGGCCGTCGACAGCGGCGACTGTCTCTTCCTTTGCACACGAACACAGGCTGAAATGAGCCCTAAGGGAGCCGTAAATCTGTGATACGCTGGCATGGAGGGCCTCCGCAAAGAGCAGACATCAAAGGGACGGCTGAGGCGAATGAGAGGAACACCAGGCCCGAAGCGACAGTGTAAGGTCAGATTGTAACCTTATTTGAAACGCCTTAAAGTGTATAAGGTGGGTCATATTTTATGCATTGGATTTTGGTCTGAGCAATATTACGTATACTGAATGACAAGAAAAAGGTAAACACCTATGTATGCTTATTAGAATTCAAGAATTGTTTACTTATTGATTTATCTTGCCATGATTTTTTTTTATACTCCGACCACCACGAAGGCCTAAACACCCATGGGGTACCGTGGGGCTATAGAGGGGTACAGGGGAAAGGGGAACACCGACTCTGGCGAGGGAACACGTGTACATGCAACATGCACACATTCTGGCCCCGCCTACGAGATCCGCCGGGTGGTACCTCCGCGTTCGACAGTCAGAGACCGTCTACCACCTACGGACCATCACAACATCCATAGCCAAGAGAAAAATTTCTCCTGGGACGGGATTCGAACCCGCACAGCGCACGGCGACTGATCAGGAGACCGAAGAGTCTACTACTGCGGCCACCGCTGCTGCCTGAATAACAATTGATAAAATGGCCAGGCTCTTGAATTCGCCACATCCTCCACAGACTTTAGCAGCTCTTACTCACGAGGTGGCAGTAGCCTGGAATGAGATACCCCAACAGGATATCGACCACCTTATCCAGGCATGTCAATGGGTGTATAAGAAATCGTGGATCCTCAACACATTATATTAAAACAGCTTCTGCAGTCAGTTGACGTATCAAGCTAAAAATTTGAACATTTTACTAGTAAGAGACACTGAACATATATGCCAAAAATTATTAAAATCGGATGAACATGCTTAGGTGTTTCATTGTTCTATGAAGCCAGCTTTGGAGCTGAAGCTGAAAGACGTCATTGAATCGAAACTAAGAAATCGTTGACTTTGGCCTCTGGGGTGAAAAGCCGATGCCTTCAAGTCACAGGTTGTTGTTCATGATTTTTTTTAATATACGAGTTTTCTGTTGTCAATATTATTGCTGGTAATCTGTAATTCAGAGAGCTAACCTCTTCCTTATCATTGACGACTGGTTGATAGCTTTGGTTGCCCTTCGTATACTACTGAGCAGTACAATCTTCTTTCAAGAAGTATTCCGTCAGAGAAAATATTTTTCTATACCTTTCGATTGAATGTTACACAGTAGAGAAACTAAAGTAGTTGAGGTATGTTAGACCTCGATCAGCTTCTCGAGCAGGAGACCATAACTTGTCTGCCGCCATCATGATCTCGTTATGTCAGCTGAACAAGCTCACCAAACTTATAAGTAAGCCTAGCCCTCTAATCCAATCCGACGAGTGTGCGTATCTTCCACTTCCCGTGGAACCCTCGAAAAGACAACATTGCTCTGACAGAAACGTAAATTATAGTCCCTCTTATGCTCCATTACCAAGATCAGATCTCTATCTCATGTCTATCAGACCGTCAAATAATAGAATCAACTTCTTGTGGATTTACAGGGTGGACAGCGTGCAGTATTAATAGTTATGGGAAGACGAATCTGGGATACTAGACCACATTTGATGCCGTTTACCAATCCAAACATTATTTGTGTATTTGAACTGACTGCCCAACCACTCCTCTTATATCTCTTTAGCATCAGACTTTGTTATTCCGGATATCTCAACCCTCGGATTGCGATTGCAACCAATAATATAAACTGATGGTGATACGTGATTGACATACGAGGAGTGTTCAGGAAAGAACGGGAATTTTCGTTTTTTGAAAAAATATTTTATTTTTTTTTTGTCTACATTTATGTTGCCGCATGTAAAATAGTCCCCACTAGATACTGTGCGCTTCTTCCAATTCTTGTAACACTTCTCAAACTCGATATTTAGGATAGCATAGGATGTCATATGCTTATACCACAACTGCCCTTTATTCTTGGATATAGGAAAAAGTCACATGGAGCCATGTCTGGCGAATATGAAGGCTGCGGCATTATTACCGGATTGCTTTTGGCCAAAAATTCGCGAAAAAGCAACAGAGTGTAAGCAGATGTGTTATCGTGGTGCAAAAGCTATGAATTGTTTTTCCACAAATCCGGACATTTTTTCAGATTGATTCACGCTGATTGGACTAGTCGTACTCCTTATTGACCGTTTGACCTCGTGGTGAGGATTTATGATCCACTATGCAATTAAAATTCATTGAACACAGTGAGCTTAACCTTCACGTATGTCACCACTTTCGGTCTTGGCGAGCCAAGATAACCTCCACTGGGACGATTGAGTCTCAGCTTCGATGTCATATCCATAAACACATATTTCGTCACTTGTTATAAGACGTTGACTTCATTTAGTGGTTTCTAAGCAAATTTCGTTTGCTGCTGATTTTGTTGAAAATTCAACAATTTTGGTACAAGTACTGCTGCCACTCCTTTCATACCCAAGGATTCTGAAAAAATTCCATGGCATAAGCCAAACGATATCCCAAAATAATCAGCGACTTCTCTGCTTCTGATTCGGCGATCCTCCTAGGCATTTATTTCACTTTTTCTACGATTTCATCGTTGTTGATGTACTGGGGCGTCCGGGACCCTCGTTATTTTCAACATCTCCACGGCCATCTTGCAAACATTTATATTACTGATAAACTCATGTTTCACTCCTAGCGTATTCAAAGTTTGATACAAGCTTCAATTTCTTCTTACAAAACAGAATGATCTTGATTCAGGAACAACTATCTTCAATTGAGGGCCGTGACTTCGATATTCCAAGGCATATATCTTTGAATCAAGGTCAAGTTCTCAATTGCAAGTGCTACGTTTCTTAAAACAACGAAATTAACTCATTTGAAGTATCTGTGATCTCGAATCAATATCACAATTTCATAGAAACTCATGGTTGAATCAATAGCATTCTTTTTCATGTGTTTTAACAAATGAAAATCGCCAAGCTCATAAAAACCTGTCTAACCTTAGCAGCTACCACAGACAAAGTGAACAATGAATACCGCTGACAATTTTACTATACCTCAGGGTCATATGTATCAGAATAATAAAAAAAATTCACAACCGGACTCCAAACTAGCAAAATCGAAAAATTCCCGTTATTTTCTTTAATACACCTCAAATTGGTTTCTCCAGTATCTTTAAAATAAACTTGAAAACATCCAATTTATTTCATCCGGACTTTATAATGCATGTTAAGAATGTTGCAAGAAAAGTTATAAAAATTGCCCATCTCTGGAAGCCGCACAAATGCGAGAACTCTTGATTAGGTTTCCCAATAGATTTTGGCGGGTTTTGGTAATAGTTTGGATAACTTCCTGAATATTTCTCGTCAATTGCTCTATAGTTTGTTGACGTAAATCTTATTGCTTGAAAATCACCACCAGAAAGGAGTCCGGGGCAACTAAATCTGGTGATCCCGGAGGTCAGATGACAGTGGCTTTTGCAGAGATAAAAAAGTGGGATCAGGTGACACGCTGCATCAAATATAGTACGTTATACCAATCTCTTTCTTTTGAAAGGATCTATCTGAATGTGCTATAGCTTCTAGAAAATCTGTATAACCTTTGACAATGTATATCTCATGTTCACAAATAAAGAAGATGCATGCAACATACTATAGAGTTATGAGGATTGGTTGTTGAGTTATAGGCAATTCAATGTACATTAACGTTCAACTTTGACAGGCTGCCCGTTCAACAGTTCCGTAGACAGTAATTTTATATTTTATGTATATAAGAAAAGCTTGAGGTTTTCAACTGTCGTTTTTACGTTAAAATATATGCATCAATTCAAGCACCTTAAATCTGAGCTTTCTACCTTGAAGCCCGTTCAAAAAATAAGTAGATGGGTGGAGACTTTCTGAAAAGTACTGTATATGAGCCACCCTGTATATCGCCAGCGGCTTGGATGGTTGATCGAGAAAACCCCACTGTTTATTTGTACTTTTCCCATTCCATCCCATCTTGGAGTGTTTGATTTAGGAAAGAGCTAGGAACGTTTCCTCTAGACATTTCCGCTGTATATCCGATATGTTTTCGATTTTCCTTGAAGGTTTTCTTTCGATAATTGGATTTTTACTTCACACGTTCTTCACTCTACATGTAGAGGTACCTACTACGCCGATACGCGATGCTTTCTTAAGATTCATTGTACTGCTTACAGAAAAAAGACTTTGGTGGTGTTATCATAAAAAAAACTTTGCTGTTACAGGCTTAGTGGAATTCCTACGAATTAGATGAGATTTTGAAATTGTGATTCCTCCCATAGTTATTCGAATACCGTTGAGTCTAACTACCTTTTTTAAAAAAGCACAGCTCAAAATAGATGTAAAACGAATTTCAATTTTAAAAACTAAACTGACAGACATTTTTTAACGGAGCTCATTATTTCATATCTACTATTTAAACAGTATAAGACTGAGTCTTGAAAGCTGTAATAGCACATCACAAACCTAATTGGAGAAGTGATCCATTATTGGGCAACTACTTTTATAACCTCTAACGTATAGCGTCTATATTGCATTTTCTTAATAATTCATGTCAGTGCTACGAGGGATGTCTTTTAAGTTTTGCATATGGAAATAAAACAACACGGTAGGCAGTTTTAAATGACTATTGTTTTTCGAAGTATTCTCCATGAAGATTAATACACATCTGCATGCGCTCGAACCAATTTTCGAAGCAGTTATGCCACTTGTTTGCTGGAAGATCCAAAACGGCACTTTTGAATGCGTCAACTGCTTCTTCTGGTGACTAGAACTTATGACCACGCAGTCTGTTTTTAATTTTCGGGAAAGTAAAGAAATCGTTAGGACTTAGATCGGGACTATATGGAGGATGGTCCAATAATTCCACGTTTTCTTCCGTTCGTTTTTTGGACTGTGTGCGAGCTTGCATTGTCTTGGTGGAGGATGATTCTTCTTTCGGGGTTGATTTTTCGAAGCTCGGTGATGACTTTTGACAAACAAATGGTGGTATACGAATCCGCCGTAACAGTTCTTTGCTCGTTAAGAAGAATTGTTGCAATATGACCCGCTTTTGACACAAATGTCGCGACCATCTTTTTCGAAACACTTGAAACGGATGACTTTTGTTCGCTT